CACCACTTCAACACCATGTGGTTTTTTCGGATCAACAGGTGGTCCCACTCGTGCCAATCCAAGACCACACAAGAAAAGTAAAATATGCTCCAACTGAAACAAAAAATAAAATAATATGTGATAAATAATTTTTACTTGAGTGGGTAATGAGCTATGATTTTTTTTTTAAAAAAACCAGGAGGTGACACGCAGCTTAGGGTCGAATGGCATGGAATCGCTGCACTCAGTCAGCAGTCTTCGGCTGAAGAATGGGATATATAAACCCAATTAAATTCATCCAAAGTCAACATCCTTCATTTACAATTTGCTCTCGAGCGTACCAACATTTTGTAACTGACGTTCCTAATGCACGTTTCAGCTAACTTTCTTACTTTTTGCGTAACATCACTAACATGGGATTCCTATAAAGACTTTTCTTTTAAAAAAATTTTCTGTGACAAAACAAAGAAAGAGAGAGACAAACCCCAGTTCTGATATTTCAAAGAACTTAACTAATGGTTCTCTTGACCGAAAAGCCTAATGGTTTTTTTTTTGGCCGAAAAACCCAATGGTTTTTTTTGGCCGAAAAACCCAATGGTTTTTTTCGGCCGAAAAGCCTCTGCAAGTGGACCTAAAGCATGCACCCAAAACTTAATTCCTATAGATTATTTTAACGGACTGTTAAAAAATTACCAATGCACTGCTAACAAAATTCTATGATTTTTGCTTTTTAAAAGAAAATTCATTTAAATAGGATTTGCTGCGTTTTTATTATTGGGAGGAACAGCGGGTTCCCGATCCTTTTTTAACTACCGCTATCGCTTAAAAGTATCAGAAAAACTAGGATAATTGCCGATTCTACACGCGGTATGATAGCATTTATTATCGAAAATTTTTTCACAGAACTGTGAAAAGTTCCAATATCGGCTCAATCTCCAACCCCTAGATTATGGTGTTAAGATTACGGCCTGTTCACCTGACGGCCGCACAGGTGCAAACTGCTAACGATTTTGACTGCTTGGCATATTCCAGTACCAATTTACCACTGAACAAATTCCAGAAAAACTGAATTGCCTCCCCGGCGAAATCGAACTCTCGATCTTTAGCACAACAGCAGAGCTGCTTACCACTGCGCCACACCTACCTTCAAAGGGATAACTTTTCAGTCAAAAAAAAAACTATTACCTGCAAGACAGCTTTCCTGTTGCCAAGTAATTCGATACGTATGTCAAGTGGAAGATCACTTATGAGCATATGTCGCTGAATTGGATCTTTCAAATACGGTTCAATTTTTTCCACCTGCAATAATTGAATGGTAAGAAGTTAGGTAATTTTGCCAAAAATTTTACAAATTTAAAATCTTTTGGCTCTTTTTTCTTTAAAAAACTCATCATATCAAAAATCAAACGCCCCTCCCCCCTTTTTTTTTACTTTCCTAAAAGCTCGCCGATCAGCCTGACCATATAAACAAGCAGACCCTTGTCACTATCCAGAAAATCATTGCGACCATGCAAGAAAGTAAAATCCAACAGACACAGCACGTTATCTGCTTTACTGACAACCAGTGGATAATGCGCATTAATAAGTAGCTTATCAAAATTTGAAAGTAACTATACTTCAAATCAAAAAATTATCAAAGCTGAAAAGTTAAAGAAAAATCGATCGACTAACGTACCGGACTTTTCATGTTAACATAGAGCACATAAATTGACAGTGGTAGCACATGCACCAAATCCTGCAGCATAAACCATCCGAGCGGTAAATCGTCATGACGCGGTATTGGTGGGACAAAACGGTACGGTGATTCCTCGCTCACATAAATGGGGCACTTTTTGAGTGGTATGCCTTGTCCAGGCGGTTGAGCAGGAGGAAATCTGTAAATCACGAACACAAATATGGGTTATAATTCAATCTATTTTGTTCAGTAAAATTATCCGGAAGTTAGCATACACGAACAACTAGTTTTTAAACGTTCGTTCTGATAGTACCAAATTATTTTCTATTAAATTGAAATCATTGTTGAACAGCTAAAGTTTTTTATTAAAAGAATCGCTGAACTGGCAATTCGTTCAGAAGACAAAACATAAGTGTTAAAATCGCTAGCAGGCTGACTTTCAAGCGATGTAAATTAGACAAAACAAGTGGAAAAAAAGTTCACAGCTGCATAGCTGGGAAATTCCTCGTGCTCAGGAGACGAAATACAGGCGTAGTGAAAAACTAACCTACAGAATACAGGCTGTTCCAAGAATTTCCTAAATAATACAAACATATGTTTAAGTAATCCTAGAACAACGTCATCCAGACGGGTAACATCACCACTGTATCGTACCGGCGGATTAGCTTAACATGTGAAACCTTCCACCTAATGGATGGTACCAACGGCCAACGTTGGTACCATCCATTCAATACATCGCTTGATTTATATATATTACCTGGCGTTCTTGTACTGGCGTTTACTGTTACAGCCACTCATATTACATTAGACGGGATCTACTTCAGTGATACGTTGTATTTTGCTGACACCTAACAAAACCCCCTTACCTTCCTCGAGCACTGCTAATCGCTGGAATACCTGGAACAGCTATTGATTCACACATCATTTAAACGGTCAGCAAATTTTCTATCAACTCAACCTTATGTTTCCCGTATCCATACTATATCATATATTCAAGATAGCAGATCCACGCGCGATACCAGTAGCTAGCCTATTTTTCTCTTCGTTAATAAAATTAAGGAAAAAGACTAAAAAACTCGTACAAACCTTTGCCATACTGTTGGTTTCGTTCCCTCTGGCAATCCGTAGATGCAATGCCATACTAGCTGATGTATCACATAGCACCGAATCATTTTACTTTGTTGCCCGTATATATCATTTGGGGCGCGAGTACCCGGTGGAATTCGTTCGGCGATTGCTAGCGTGGACGGAAGACTTGCGCTATCGTCATCCATCGAAGCAGTTCGATCAACGGATGAGTCCAATTGGACAATACTTTCACTTTCAAGCGTAGTATCCAGTGATTCGTCCAGCGGATTCGCCTCTCCTGCATCTTCCTGGAAAATTATACAATTTTGAGGTAAAATCCATTGCCAACG